TAAAAAATGCATAAGAATGAAAAAAATTTTAAAAATGAGTACCGTTTACTTAGGGTTTCGCAGTAAGCTGGAAGTGTCCTACCTCATACGTTTTTCATCACATAAGTTATGTTTTTTGATTGGACACTAGTAACTAGTGTGACGTGTCTAGTTCTTTTTTTTGGTGCACACTGAATTCTATCAGTCAGGTTTGTAATGTGGCCACCATTCTAGGTAGCTCGCCATTACGGTGCACTGTGTATTGTTGGTATTAGATGGTTGGAGGCGATCGGTCACAGGAAGCCTTGCTTGATTTAGCTTTCGTGTTAGCTGGCACTCACTACTCAGCAAGGCGTATCCGCAACCTTGAAGGAACTCATGTCCCTTCTGAGATTCAAACCCGCGTCACCCAGTGCTGCAGTCAGAGACGTTACCACTGAGCCACCTGACTGATAGAATTCAATCTGCACCAAAGAGAGGACTAGACACATCACACTAGTTACTGGTGTCAAGTCAAGTCAAAATATCCGCTAGAGTCCAACAGGAGGTCAACCGCGAGTCTGAATAGCTCAGTGGTAACGTCTCTGACTGCAGCATTGGGTGACGTGGATTCGAATCTCAGAGGGGACATAAGTTCCTTCACGGTTGCAGATACGCCTTGCTGCTGCTTCAGCTGATGATGATGATGACACCAACTAGCACGAAACCTAGGTCCAAGGCTTCCTGTGGCCGATTGCCTTCAACCATCTAATACACAAATTATGTGCCGAATGAGTAACTTTTTCGGCAGTACGCACCCACCGTGGTTCGAACCCAGGACCTTCTAGTTACAAGGCGAGCTCGTAGACCATTATGCCACTGAAACCCTATCCAATGATCCGTGAATCCCAACCTCTGCCAATTCACAATATGACGCTACCAGTAGCGAATTTTATCCGTGGCAAGTATTTTTCTTCCCACCCGAACTGTTGTGCCCCACGAGACAGGAAGAAACAGTTATCCAATACTCCCTGGCTTTCCAATGGTCTTCTGACCGAATTCAGTTCAAGATAATATTCATCATTTTCTTGCATGAGTTCATATGTCTGTCTATAGCAGTATTAACGAATCGGTTCAAAGACAATGGACTCACCCTAATGACAGCCTTTAGTGCCCTTCCTAGTATAATAAAACCTTCCTTAAGTAGCCCAGGAAATAGTAAGGTGTGGAGGAGCAATAAAGAAGAATAGTAGTAAGAAATGCATGGACTAACAACTTGTGAAAATAGAGACTGAGTGGTACCAAACTGTCTTAACTTCCCAACGTAGAACGTTAAACGGATCAGAGGAAATACACAATCCAAGATATTTAACATTCTATTCTGTTTCAAACTCTATGCTATTTATGATCGTGGAACCATGTGAACTAACCAGTTCATGTAACTAGCGCTTGCGTCTGAAAGTGAAATTAACAACTTGAATGGCGAGACTTAAATTAAGACCATTTGAATAGCATCACTGACTAATTTCGAATAAAAAGTTATTCTCAAGTATTGGTTTTGCAGGAATTTTGTCTTTGATTTCATGGAGGATATCATCATGAGCTGACATCAGTTAAAGAGCCACTGGAAAACCTTGGAGTACTGGACAACTGTTTCGTCCCGGTTTGGGACTCTCCAGCAGTACACACCCATCGGAATTCGAACCCAGGACCTTCTGGTTACAAGGCCAGTGAGCTCGTAGATCACTGAGCCACTGAGACCCGATCCAATAGTACTTGAATTCTAACTTCTACCAATTCACGACATAGCGCGACCATTTCGCAATATCTTCTTTGATGAGTTACTGCCTCATCTTCAGCCTGCTGTACCATAATGGTCACGGCTAAAAATGAAGATGAGGCAGTAACTCATCGAAGAAGACACTGCAAAATGGTCACGCCATATCGTAAACTGGCAGAAGTTAGAATTCAAGGACCATTAAGTCGGGTCTCAGTGGCTCAATGGTCTATGAGCTCACCTTTAACCAGAAGGTCTTGGGTTCTAACCCCGGTGGGTGCGTACTGCTGGAAAAGTTACTCATTTTAGAATGGTTTGAATGAAAAGTAACAGACGCAGAAACAGTCGTCATCGACACACTCAACAAAACATGTTTCGTCAGAATTTGGTAAGTCACGTAAGAAGAAAAGGAGAAAGAACTTGAGGAACACCAGCTAGAGCAGCTGAAGCAGTGGAGGATTTCCAGTTGTAAACAATCAGCACAAATTTTTACTAAGTATTAGATAAGCGACAGTGCTTACTCTCTAGCAACGAATTAATGTGTCATATTACATGTTTTTCAACCAAATAAAATTAAACTTTCATTATTTTACGCAGTCAATTTTAATTTAAGGAACGATTATCCATGAAAAACTCATAAAAAGAAAAACAGACAAGATTAGAAATCACTTATACAATTTTTGGCAGAATAAGCATCAAAGATAGGATTTCAAGTGAACATAGAGAAAACAGAGGTGATGAGGATTTCTGGCCAACAGAAAGAGCAACAACAACAGACAAAAATCAGCATAAATGGAAGAAATCTGAAAGAAGCAACCTCCTTTACCTACCTACTCACCTGGGAAGCTTCGTTTCAACTATAGGCGGACGGAATTGATGAGGATATCAAAGCGAGGATAGGGAAAGCATAGCAAACTTGCATTTCTTACAAGTCTGTGTGCAGGTCAACAGCACTACTCAACATGAAAAGGAAGATCTGGATTTTCAACTCCACTGTGAAGCCAGTGCAACTATATGAATCAGAGACTTGGCCAGCGTCTCGTGAAGGGCACTTCGAACCAACCATAGACCTTCATCAACAGCTGTCTTTGCTCAATACTCCACTCAAGGTCAGACGGCCGACCGGAAAAGATCAGCAACAGGGATCTCTGTGAGCGAACTAACCAGGAACCTACTGTGCAGCAAATAAGCAAGAAGAAATGGATGTGGATTGGCGAAACTCTGAGAAGACAATTCGTCAAGTGACCTATCAAGACAGGCCATCACTCGAGTAGAACTTCAATATGAAGCAGCAATTTGGTCGTCAATGCGAGGGTGGGGTCACATGAAGTGGAGAAGAAAGCATGTGGACAGACATGGTGTCAGGTGAAAACTTTGGCAGAGAACCGAACGCAATGGAGACGTACAGCTGAAGCTCTATGTTTCTCCAGGAACTAAAGAAAACAATAATATTAAAACAATTAATCCCTTTGATAAATTTGAATATGGCATTAAGAAGACAAATTTCGCGAGATGATATCATTTCGTAGTTTCTTTACAACCGCTTTACAACTAACATGGTTAACAATGATAAAATAAAGTTCATGAAAATTACTCAGTTAAATAAAAAAACAAAAGTACATACTAATGACCAATCATATTAAGATAGGTCATGCAGTCCAGGGTAGGCGAAGATTGAAGTCTATTGATTTTTGTACACACAGTTTATGCTGTATGTGATTAATCCAAAGTGCTTCCATCACCTTCAATCAACCTTGAATTAGAGTTATGTGAAATAATTGTGAAACAGTCATTAATATTGATTTTGTGACCAGACATTAATAAGTGTTTTGCAATGGATGATGCTGGATTTCTACTAAGATTAATCGCGTTAGGATTTTCGATATGATTTAATAGCCATTTTGGAACATGTTCTTTTCGACGACATTGGAACATTCTGTTAGTTCTACCTATATAGGTGTCACTGCAGCTGCAGGTGAACTTGTAGATACAGTTTGAAGTAGAGTCCACAGAATTTCGTCCTTTAATCGTAGGAACAGGGATCGAAAATGTTCGGCAAGTGAGAAAAAGAGATGCGGCGTAGAATGTGCGTTTGATGGCTGACCGAAGTCTTTGAGCTGTCAACTGCATAATCTGGTCGCCCTTGAATGGTAGATTAATAAAGATAGCTTTCTTTGGTACAGAAGCTGTCTTTTCAAGATGTGGTCTATCTTTACCGTGACAATTGATGAAGTTTTCTGGATAACCATTGGCTAGTAAAACTGAATGTACATGTCGAAGCTCATCCATCAGTGTGTCACTCGTGCATATTTTTCGGGCCCTTGAGAACAAACATTTCACTAGGGAACGTTTATACTGGATAGGAACAAAACTGGTAAAATGAAGATATTGTCCACTCCAAGTCTGCTTACGAAAAATAGAGCGCTGAATCGTTCCATCATTTCTCCTAGTCATAGTAATATCCAGGAAACCGAGTTTGTTATTGGATTCTATTTCGTAGGTCACTGGAATATTTGGATGAATTTGGGGGAACATTGGTGAATAAAGATTCTATGTCAATTGAACACATAACCTTTTCCTTAATGTTCAAGGTGTCCAGCATTTCTGTAAGATCTACGCCGCATCTCTTTTTCTCACTTGCCGAACATTTTCGATCCCTGTTCCTACGATTAAAGGACGAAATTCTGTGGACTCTACTTCAAACTGTATCTACAAGTTCACCTGCAGCTGCAGTGACACCTATATAGGTAGAACTAACAGAATGTTCCAATGTCGTCGAAAAGAACATGTTCCAAAATGGCTATTAAATCATATCGAAAATCCTAACGCGATTAATCTTAGTAGAAATCCAGCATCATCCATTGCAAAACACTTATTAATGTCTGGTCACAAAATCAATATTAATGACTGTTTCACAATTATTTCACATAACTCTAATTCAAGGTTGGTTATTGAAGGTGATGGAAGCACTTTGGATTAATCACATACAGCCTAAACTCTGTGTACAAAAATCAATAGACTTCAATCTTCGCCTACCCTGGACTGCATGACCTATCTTAATATGATTGGTCATTAGTATGTACTTTTGTTTTTTTATTTAACTGAGTAATTTTCATGAACTTTATTTTATCATTGTTAACCATGTTAGTTGTAAAGCGGTTGTAAAGAAACTACGAAATGATATCATCTCGCGAAATTTGTCTTCTTAATGCCTTATTCAAAACAATAATAATAAATAATAATAATATACAATTTTTGAATTTACCTGGTTTTTTCTATAATTATGCTGTGACAGCGTCAAAGTACGATAACAGAGACTTCCAACTGTTTGCCAGGCTAATATTTCACTTTTCTCATCTAAGAAGACCTCTTGTCCATTGAGACAGCCATTATCTATTCCTGATTCATTTAATTTTGAGATTAATGAAATATCTGGTTCAGAGTTGAACATTTTTGAATTTTTTAAATAATCATTTACATTTGACGTTGATCTTTTAGGCAGACTGCTTAGAATATTGAAGCTGAGAATTTGTATAATCTATGGTATAAAAAAAGGGGAAATGAAAATATGATTATAGGCATATAGTCAAACGATAGAAAAGTAAACACTTTTTACATGGTATAAGGTGATGATTCAAAAATTTTCATACAACCTACTTGTTTCTACTTATCTACATCAACTTCATCAACTTTGAAAAGGCCTTTGATAGTGTTGGCCGTAAAATAGTTTATGGAGTGCAGCATGCCAAGTGATTTACAAACGAAAAGCTCATCAAAATGCGGGAAGTGATATTCCTAATTGTGATGGACTGGATTATGCTTCAGACAATGGGAAACGAGAAGATAGGGATATCCTGGGCCGACCGACGCGAAGAACCTAGAAGACCTGGATTTTGCGCGTGGATGATTTATGTTTGATGTCACACAAAATCAAAGAATTACAAGCGAAAACCAACAAACTGGTAGAAGAAGCAGCAAAGACAGGCTCCAGGTGAACATAGACAAGACGAAGGTTATGAAAACAACTAACCAACAACAACAACAGCAACATCCAGTGCCGATCACCATCAACGGGAGGGATTTGAAACAGGTTACTTCACTCACTCATTCAATTATCTAGCATTGAGCATTGTCTCAACTACAGGAAGTCGGAACGGACGAGGCTGTCAAACTGAGTGAGAATCGGGAAGGCGAGCGAGAAACACATTCATCAGTCTGAAATCAATCTGGAAATCTTCGTCACTCAGCCAGCATCAACAACAAAATTCGGTCGGATTTTCAATACAAACACGTCAAGTCAGTCAGCTCTTCTATACGGATCAGAAACGTGGCGGTCGGGTCACAAAGAATATTTCCAACAAACAGCCTGTTGCAGACCTTTATCAACCAACAACTGTCTTCGCTGGATCTATACTCAAGATCAGATGGCTGGGCCGGGTCGGAAAGAATCACCAACAAGAAACTATGGCCGGGAACAAACAAACAAAACAAGAACAAACCGATCGCCAACTAACAAATATGCAGGAGAAAGTGCAGATGGATGGATTGGACACTCGCTCGCTGAGGAGGCCGCCGCTTGGTGACATCGCACGCGTCAGGTCATTGCTCGAGTGGAACCAGGCCGCAAGTGAAGCACACGGCGAGTGGGACGTCAGTGCAAGGGTGGGTGACATGGAGGAGATCGTGTTAGTTGGAGGAGTTGAAACAGCATGGACTGACATGGATGGATGCAGGTGGAAAGTACAGCAGAAGGAAGGCAGAAGCAAGTGGAGACGTGCAGTTGGCGCCCTATGTTCGACTAGGAACCCAAGGGAACAATAATAAGTAATAATAATACATGTTTCATAAAAATTACGTGTACCCCACTGTTTGGATAATGTTTAACAGATTTTTTTCTGTTGACATCCTTAATACAGTAATAAGTACACCATTGTGTTTGGCACAAATATCAGTTAGTCTAAGTAATATCTCAGATAGTCTTATCAATAATTTACTGTTTAATTTTGAAAATTTAACAAATAACTAAACTACAGATTTATTTATTTATTTATTCTCAGTTTAACTTGCATTTCTCGTCGATTAACTGCGAAAAAACGAAATACTTCGTCTCCGCCGACATTTTGTCTCCCAGTATAGACGACCTTTAACGATGTCTAACGTAATTAATTAACGAGAAATGCAGATTAAAGCAAAAGCAAATGTTGCACAAGAAGTGGCTGATATCGCCGCATAACAAAGTTAATAACGTTTTGGTGTTTGAAACGATAGACTGGGGGTTTTGAGTCTTTCAGTGTGAATACAACTGCTTACTGTGGAATTCAGATACATCTATCTGACGAGTCGAAAAAGTGTGGCGAAATGTCAGTCGGAGATCCTATTGATAGTCGGTGGCAACGGAAATGAACTATAAAACCCCTATTCTTTGTAAAAAAAAAAGACTTACATTTCCATCCTAGAATTGATAAATCTATGAAGTTTACATGTTTTTTGATTTTGTGATTCAACCATTCCCTTTATTTTTTTACTCCAAAGTCATTGAGTGAAGAAAGGCATAGTAAAGCGTCGGTATGTCAAACAGTAATTAATTAATTAGTGGTGAGCTCTTCTGATTCTGTCATTTTTTTCGTAAACCAATGTTGATGCTTACAAGATGACTGGACTGTGGGGTTATTGAATTCAAACCTAAGACTTCCAATAACCTATCTAATAAGCTGTGATAACTAGTGTTGTTAATCAGGGGGCAGTTTCACTTGAATCACGTGGAAATTTGCAAGCTTATCATCAAATGCAACAGTATCGAGTCGTCATAAGTCATATCGGAATAATTTAGAGCTATGAAAATATTATTATCCTTTTGAGTTAAACACTCAAGGGATTATCTGAAGCTCGTGAATAACAATCAGATACTCACTAGAGACATGCCCTATTCAGATAAGTAGTTACCTGGGGTGCTAGTGAGAAGTCGTGACCAGTAGGCTGCAGCAGGTCGGGTGTGAGGACAAACACTCGCCGAAGACATTTCTAGGGGTCGCGCTATGTCGTGAATTGGCAGAAGTTGTAATTCATGGACTGGCTATTGAATCGGTTCCCAGTGGCTTAATGGTACATGATCTCGCCTTGTAACCAGAAGGTCCTGGGCTGGAACTCATCATCAGTGTGTACCAACGGACCCTGTGGGGATCATACCCTGAACCTTCAGGTTACGAAATCAAGCTCGTTGACCAATCAGACATTCGATGAGCTCAACATTGAATATATTTGCGAATCCCTATATAAACCCATAGTGACCAGTAGGGTCCACAATGTGAAGATGAAGTGGATGATCATGGTAAGCACTGATTGAGGGTAGAGATATATCATGAAATGACAAAGTTAGAATTCACACATCATTGCATTCCAACCCAGGAGGCGTCTTTATCTGAAGGTCCTGATTTCGCTCCCTGACGGATTCGTGGGTGTGCGTCCTGTTGAAAAGTTCCAGACTAGGACGAATCAGCCTCTCAGTACTCCCTGGTCATCAGTAGTTCTCTATCCGATGTCAATTCGTGATTAGTAATGAGACAGTGTGAAGTTGGTGATTTCGAATTCTCTTGCAACCTAATCATCACTTACCTTCAAATTAACTCATCATTACTGTCGTCATTATAGTAATAGTTATGCATCAATAAGGCTTTGATAACAATTTTAACTAGTAAATTCAAAAGGACCACCCAATTTACTTCTAGTCAGGTACTGGCGCCTATATCAAATTCTCAACTTGCAGATTGATTCATCGTTCAAATTAGATGGTTTGAACCAAATGGAGTCCAGTGTTACTGGGCACAGCCTCAAACGAGAGAGACGACCATTCGGTGTATAACCAACTTCGATTTAGCTAGCAAACAGTATTGGTTAGTTTCTTGATGTGGGTTGTATTTTCTGAACTGAACAGTTGATTTGCGAAGATTTCATCGCCCTACTAGGCGACAGCTTCAGTGCATACTTCAATTTGTTCAAGTGAGCTTTCAGATTTCTCCAAGAGTTTATTTATTAATCATTTCTTCCGGTGACCTCGGATGTGATTGGTTGTTTTTGTGTATTTTCACACCTTCTAGGCAGCCACTTGTATTGGAACTGATTGTTCCTTTGACTTGAACTTTTACCCTTTGTGTGTGTGAAGTTTCTTTCTTATCGGTTGATAAATTTTGTCTATCTCGATGTGTCTATTGATTGATGATAATTCACTGGAATGCCAGGCTGGCTTCTAAAAATTCTCTACCATTCTTGTTGTTGTGTCCTCTGTCTAATATTTGAACGTTGTCCCAGTCGAACTGATGTCCATGGTGGTCTGTATGTAGTGATGTGAAGGAGTGGAGATCATGTCTTTTGACGGCAGCTTATGATCATGCATACGAAGACGAAGGGGATGTCCACCTTGACCAATGTAGTGGGTTTCGAAGTTGTTACAATTTATTTTTGTAGATGATGTTGGGTTTATCTCCTTTCGCTGTTGAGTCTTTTGGTTGACATAGAACTGAGAAGCAATCACGTCCAAGGTCCAGTCACCAAGAGAGATGATTAATAAATAAACTCGTAGAGAAATCTAAAAGCTCACTTCAACAAATTGAAGTATGCGCTGAAGGAAGATGTCACCTAGATGGGTGATGAAAGCTTCGCAAATCAACTATCCAGCTGATCAGAGAACATAACCACATCAAAATCATCCGCCTGAGCTACAAATCTTTTCTATCATATCTGGTATTGGTTAGTGTAAGTGGGTATACAACTACTCATATAAATCAATGAGTAGTATGTACTCGCATGCACTGATGGTTATCTTTAAAAAATTAATTCTAATTATTTGATTGTTGTATACTCACCTATATCATGGAATCAAGTCAAATTGAGATGATTTCATGAAGAAAAGCTGATGACTAATTATACAATCCTTAATATAAACTAGATCGTATAAAAAAACCCACTAAAACCCAAGCTCAAACTCTAGACTAACTAACTAATTCATATGAGATGAAAAATAAACTAAATGACATTCAACTAGCGAATGATGAAACAATGGTTAGTTTTGATATAACTGGTCTTTATACTAATATACCAGTTAATATGGCCTTAGAAGCAGTTAAAAAAGAATTAACTGCGGATCCGGAACTCACTCATAGGACGAAGCTACCCATTGGAGAAATTATTTTAGGAATTCAGTTATACCTCACATCTACTATCTTTAAATTCCAAGGTAAAATATATAGACAAACAGAAGGTGTAGCAATGGGATGGATCATCAATTTCCCCTATCGTAACAGACATATTTATGGACAGCTGGGAAAGTAATGCTCTTAATACGTTTACTCCTACTCCAAACGTAATATGGTGGAGATATGTGGATGACACTTTCACAGTGTTAAAAACAGAACATATCTCTAGCTTCTTGACACATATAAACTCATTAGTAGAGGGAATAAAATTCACATTTGAATCGGAAAATGAACAAGGAGATTGTAAAATAAAAGGAATAGAAGAAGGTAAACTACACACTAGTATGAA